ATCTTTTTAAGTGGGAGAACTTGCACAATTGGTGGCTGACTAAGTACTTTTTTGCCCCACTGTAACACAGTCGTGTCATAATAGCAAAGAGGGAAACGGACAGAACAGCTCAAGGGCTGTGTTAAGAGAATAATCACACCGCTCATAATTACAGCACCACGACTGACAAAACATGTAACACCCAGTAACACTGAACCATTACGTAATACTGTATGTAGTAATAAGCTTTGATTACAGTAATAATCAAAAGTTACTGTTTTAGTCAACTAAAACATTGTGCCAACAGATCTAGGTGGTTGGATTCTAAACCTCAGTGCAAGATTCAAGAAGCCTGCCTCTTGCAAATTAAATGAGTGCATTTGTGGATCCCATGTCACACCTAATTGTGAAAATGTGATGCAGAACTTTGATTCAAAACTCTGAAGAAGTTCAAGGGACAGAAGCCTTAAGCTCAGCCCCGCCCTTCTTCAAATACACCTCACCTCAGGTGGGAGTCCCCCTCGATAGGCTGGCCAGCTGCAAGAATAGGCAATGGGACGACCTGTTGCATTCAGAGCCTTGGACATTTTAGGATAACCTTTTGAAAACAAAAATAGTTGCCCATTTGAGTTAAATTCAAAATTTATTTAAATCAAATTATTTTTAGGTGGTTGATGCTTAATTTAATTAATATCCTAGGTGTATATTTGACATCTTGAACAAATCCAATTAAGATGTATTATTTTAGCAACTTTTGGCGCACTGACAGATGAAGCAAAACAGAGGCATGCTAAAGCCTTGACTTTTACCTTGGGCCTGTTCATCTGCTGATGAGTAGCAACCATCTAGTTTCAGCATATCCACTCCCCATTGTGCAAATGTTAAAGCATCTTGTTCAATCCGATTCAATGTAGTACCCGGGTAACCTGCACAAGTGTGGGTGCCTAGGTCACCATAAATGCCAAGTTTCAGGCCCCGTGAATGCACCTGCCAAAATATGTCATGACTTGTGAGATCAAGACAGAAGACCCATCAAGAATCTATATGATGGAAGAAGCAGTGGAAATACTTCTTATTGTTTGTATTAGCGAGCATCTTTTTTTAATCACTTACTCAAAAGCTAATCGATCATCTCCTTCTCTGCATTTACAGATTATTTTTACAATTTATGGAACACAACATCTCAACAATATTGGTTTTAATTGAAATTGTTACTGAAAGGGTAGATAACCTAACGAGTAGGGAGTTAAATCTCATGAATAACTAGTTATCCAAACAAACTTCCCAAGGACTGAACTCTTATTTTGCAGTATGTAAATTTGTAAATGTTTCCACAAATGAAAGGATAGAGATATGAACTAGGTGGTACACTGATACAGCAATATTTAGTATGTGGCAGTATTTTTCCCCATTTTATATGAATACAGACACTTCTGCTGACTGAATGGCCAGTTCAAATTATGCTTCTGCCCATCAGTACATAAGTTGATGAGAGCCAGACAAATCATTAAAAGGTATATGTCTCATTATTGCTTTTCATCCAACGGTCAACCCTTTCTTTTCCAATCTAGTGATCTTCAGGTATTTTGTATTAAAATCCTATCATCCTTATTCAGCGCAGCCATTCACTATGCTGGAAATGAGTTAGGAGTACTGAAGGCCTGAGTATCTGGAGGGTACCAAGCTAGAAAAAGCTGGGTGACACAATAGAGAACTTGATGAGCTTTTTAAAAAATCCATTGCCAAGGTCTAAGTTTGAAAATACAGACTTTGAATTCAGCAGAATAATATGGTGATCTAGATTCAGAGGTTCTTGCCAACAATATGACCCTCTGGATGTTGCTCACTGGATAACTTTGAGCAAAGGTGCTTTCTCTCAGCCCAACCTACTGCACAAGTACAAGTCCGTGGCTACAAATTGGCCAACTCTGAAGAAGTAATCTACATCTCCTGCAGCAATTAAGAAGCAAGCCCTTGATCCTTTGGGGAACTCACAAAGATTCTCTGGAGTTTCTCTACTGTTGACTAGGAAGTTGATCTTTTTAAAAATCACAGATGGATCACCTGATCTCACTCACATCAGAAATATTCACTTACATAGTCTGCCAAAGCTTTGATCCCTCTGGGGAACCTCTCAGGATCTGGAATCAGATGTCCCATCATATCCCGGTTCTTTGCCATCCAGCAGTCATCAATATTCACATACTCATAGCCCAATTCCCTCCAGCCATCCATTGCCAGATGGTCCGCCATTTCCATGAAAAGTCTCTCACTGTTCCACAAATGGAAAAGCAGTTTACAGGAAACAAGAACAAAAAGCAAACTGACTAACTTGGAACTATTTATATCCATTGGAAACTATCAGGTATAGAAGATACTGTCCCGACAATGTCAGGCTACACACTGCACAGATGTGTTTTGCCACATTTATGCTACAGTTTACTTTCCACAATAGATAAAGGATTAATTTCTCTGTCAGGTCCCCACTATCACTTTTTCATACTTCCTATTTTTCTGCAATAACCTGGAAGTAAAATTAAAACGGAATTTCCTATAGTATTATGTTATTCAGCTATGCCCTTCTTTATGGTCAGGATCCTTCTATATTTTCTCAGAAATATGCCTCATTCAGCAAATGTCATTATGAAAATAAACTGAACGCTTGTAGGCTGGGCCTTTTTATTGGTTCCTGTTCAACCCAACTACATGTTTGTATATTGGGGGACAAGGGTGGTTAATTAGTGATTTCCTCTAATGTTTTAATTTTTATTTTTACATAGCAAAATTATTCAGTACTCCTCTCCCAGCCATGCTCAGCAGGAAAATTAAATTACAATTTGGCAACAACATTCAGAGGGGTATGAGGGGGAACATACCCAAGCTTTTGGGGGAGGCAAATCCAGCCTTGGAGGTTCAGATTTTTCATGTTTGATACCACCCCTCATCTTGAATCTTGGGATTCTAAAACTCAGGAACATACCTGAAAAAAGGTTGTGTTTCCAAGGTTCTTCCACTTACCTGATACAATTATGGGGATCTGTCTTGCAATCAATATTACAACGGAAGCGCTCCCATGCAAGCCACCCCATTGGGGGTGTTCTCATCAGTCCATTCTCCAGAGCCAGGGAGAAGGCATGGGGCAGAAGAAGGAAGACAACACATTTCATGACCGTGGATTCAGGGAGGACTGCTGCAAAAGAGGTGGAGGGAGAGGGGAGAAAACATAATGAAATATCGCTTTCTACTATTTCTATTCTGTTCCAACGGAACAGCCATATTCCTTCAGCCATATCTAATGAGGTTAGATATTTACAAGCTTTTACCTCTGTCTGGTGCCTTTTCTCTTTCTTTCACAGTGTGCATCTTAAACAAGCAAAACATGCATATCACCAAGATAACATTGTGTGACAGTTGTCATTACATTCTTCCTTTTTTTTTTTCCCCTGCCTTTGAGTGAGTTTAGCCTTGGACATTTTAGGATAACC